AGGATGTGCGTGGAGTATCATGAGGTGCTGCTATGATCACCTTGCGTTCTGCAAGTGGCGATTGTGTTGCAAGATGTCAAGAGGATGCCTTTAACTGAAAGGTGTAGGTCGTCACTGATGTGTGAGATTGTGCTGTGGGTATGCTTGTGGTGTGTTGGCTTTTCTGTTTGTTTTCCATTTCAGCTTTGTCCGTGGCATCCAAGTCAACGTGTATTGGTCGTGATGAGAAAAAGGGATGTATCCGTTATTTGCCGGGGAGTGTCAATGTAGTTGAGGATTGAACGATCAATTCATGGTTGTTTGCTCAAACCCAACTCCTCCATATTTTTCGCGGGTCATCAATCCGGCAGTCATCGTCTCATCGTTCGATGTTCAATGGAAGAGGGAAAACTGTCAGGAATATTATCGTGATTTATTGTTATAACATTCATTCTTAGACCTTGTGTAATAGCCTTATTGTTGGTTATATGTTGGCGCAAGAATAAAGGATTTTTGAGTCGCCAATCAGTGTTCTGGTTTTCATGTTGGTTAATACAAAGTGTTTCTGAGTCTTCCAGGGACAGCGTGAGGTCCAGCGTAGCAAGAGCTGATTATTGACAGTTTATGAGTTTTAGCTGACACAAGCTCTGCTCACTATCATTATTTCATTACCTTTCGTCATATAAACATATATGGCCTATGGAAGTGGAAAATTGAAAGCGTGATTACTCCTTGTATTCATCATTTTCATATCTGTGATGTCTGGAGACTGGCTTCCCTCTTGTAAATATAGTAAGAATATATATTATTATAAGTCTAAATTTTGATTGTTAATATACTTCTCTGATGAAATACACGGGTTGCGTTATTGGAGGGTGAGAAATATGATACACATGTACTAAATTAAGACACAATGAATGCAGAACTTACAGCCATTATCAGTTGATCAGTTGTGAAGCGTTTGAAACTTTATAAAATTCTACATTAAGCGGTAAGTACGGCGTTGTTTTGATATCAGCAGATTTATGGAACCACCTTTACGATTATAAACAGATTTCATGATGGAGGTTGTCCATCATTCATGCTAACAATATTCTGAATATCTGCTAAACGTAGGTTCTAGTGAATACAAATTCCGTTCAGGTAGGACAGATGTAGAAGGCAGCATTACTGTACATTCGCAGTGCTCTAATGCAGTGCCTTCGAAAAGAGAAGACAGAAGAAAACAGGAAGGGAGGAGTAGAGACAGACGGCAAATGCTAATTAGTTAAACAAACAACATCCGATAAACGCAGGGTCCATTCTGTATTTTATTGTGATGTGTTTATAGTCACTGAATTTTATGGTCTTTCGTACTAACGGTTATTTCATGTTTAAGGTAGTAAAGAAAATAAGAGAGAAAGGAATGATGATTGTTCCCACCTATGTAGGGTGATGGTGGGAATAGGTACTGAATAAGTTAAATCCAAACGCCAAAGTACATTAAATATGTAGGAGAAAGACGGAATTTTATTGGTATTCATGCTTTTGTTCGGATTAATATAGCTAGATGTCCTTCTGAAGCAGAGAAATCATACCGTGAGCTGGTTTTCAGAGGGTTTATACTCACGCTGCGGCATTGAAGCAGTCTTTGCTTTCTCACCTACATTCCTCTACCGAGCACCTAGAGAGAATCTTTGATCTGTTCACGCACAGACCCACGTATTCATTCGGTGGTTATGTCTGGCTTCATCAACCATGAGCCCCGGCCAGAATGTGTCCCAAATTTTACGCCCCTTGGCAAGGGTCGTATGAGATCGTCCAGATCGACTACAACACCACATATGTTCTTAGGAACCTGCAGCGACGTCAAGACAACGTCATCACTGCCCATGATAACCAAGCGAGACAACACGATCCAACCAGCCCAAAAGAACCGCCATACCCATCTTGACCACCACCTGCCACCTATCACTACGAGGTTCCAGAAGTAGATGGCGACGCATATCCGATGCCAGAATCAGTTACTGGAGACAGCGCCTCGAGAGGAGAGGGGGCTATGTAACAAGATGAAAACCACAATAGAGTAATTAGAACTGTTTTCTTTTCTCCAACTCATAGAAACACCCAGGAGTCTATCTCGTGGAGTAAGAGACATAGCACCTATCAGGACTCAATGTCAATGGTGACAGGTAGACTGTCTTGCTTGTGCGAGATTTTTTGTATCGGTGTTAATTCGATATGTCTACAGGCACTCCTATGAGAAAGTGTGACCAGTTGTTACGGCATTTTAGAGTTATACACCCCGTATAAATCAGTTTTATTATACACTTCTTATAAATGCCACTTTTAACGTAGAAGAATATAAGTGGTAGATCCAAGGTTATCTGACACATCAAATCAGTGTGAATAAACTTTCCACTCGTTTTTGTGAAGTGCAGTGCTGAGAAGGACTAGTGAATGCATTACTTGTATTAAAACATCTGGGTGAAACTTTCAACGAAGATTATGAACAACATCCATGTGTAATGCCGAGCTATCTTATTGGTCGATTGAAAGCCATTTGACTTTGGCGTCTATTCTTTACTGTTGCAAATACTTTACCTTCACTATGCTATGAAAAATGTACTTCTTTGTGAGTTGGGCTTCTGTCGTCTTGAGGTGTCGGAAGTTTGTTTTGATGCGCTTGGGACTACCAATGTTTCACACCTTCAACGGCGGTGGTTACAACTCTGTCTGAAATCAGGTACTTTTGTGTGTTTGGTTTATCTAATGTCTCCTGAAAATTGTTATGTAGTTTTCACCTATATACCATATCAGTTTTTTTGAACGCCTAGTAAAATAGAAAGAGCTAAACTGTAGAAACCATTTCATTACCTGCCCTTGAATAAGCGACTGAAGATAGAGTTAGTACAATCAAATCGCCTCCCTTTTTTGTGCTCCTCATTGTTGGTTATTTTACTCACGGTCGGTCGCAAGGTGGACAAAAGGTGCTATGGTTTAACACTGTCAGATCCTTGTGCATTGGGGCACCAGCGTACCAATGATGTTTAAGGTGGATAAGGCAAAGTACAGAATAGTAGTCCAGAATATTTCAAAAGTCCGTATTTTGACTATTAACAGTCATATTTATTGAATGGTTACTCAGTGCTAGTTTCTTGAAAGTGGTTTTTCAAGAGATCTTAAGGTGTGAAGGCTACACAATGTTTGGAATATCTGGACAACTTTCTTAGTGCCATTTTTCGAGAAATATGTGGCAGTAAAATTTTGGTTTTTAATTTTACGTCTTACATGCTAGCGACTGTAGGCTTTGGTGAAGTTGGGTTTAACAGCATAACCATCATATAGGGTAGGAAATGATTCCGGTCTACTGTAAGTCTTATTTAGATGAAGGGAGATTAATTTGTGTATGATTTATATATGCAAGGTGCAGTAGTAGAATATGTGAATCCAAGTGTTATCAGTGTTTGAAAGTTCCACACTGGTGTTATGCTGACCGAATTCCGAAAGGTAGTCTACCGACCAGGGGATCCATGCTGTCATAGGTCTCACTGGCATTGGTGTGGTAAAACTGAGTTTGGGCTATGGCAGGCACCTATTAGATACTACGACCTCAAACTACAATACTGTCGTTGATGAGTTACAACACAAACCTAGTAAGTGCATGCCAAATGAACCACACAATGGTGCTAACATAGCTATTGTGGACCCATCCATGTAAAGTCTCCAGAATGTGATGACAGTTGCCGTTCGGTTCTAAGACAGTGTACAAAAGCCCTCTACAGACTCTTAGATGACATGTTCCGACACTCCATAAAGTCAGAAATTGTCAAAGCGGTGGAAACTATTTTCAAGGGTTCAGCATGAGGTTTGTCTTCACGAAAAAGACCAAGCATGTGTTGGTGTTCCACTTCTACTATGGTTTGTGGAGTACCTAAACAGAGGGAAATTCATATTGAAAGTCGCTTGTATCCTGCCATTTCAGAACAGCTCAGCCTCCGAAGTCCCCGGGTTCTGTTCTTAGACCCTTGGTGTGTTTAGTTTTTATCGATGTCCTACCATACTGTTTAAACCGCCTGAATCTTTATGCTGATGACGTGAAGATTGGTTAGTCAATAAAATGTTTGACAGACTTAAACAGGTTACAGACAGACCTAACTCTGGATGATAGATAAAGTTCAGTAGTACGTCTTTCAAATATACAAATTCACTAGTACAAATACGTGTCTAAACGATGCAAAGTGGTGGTTGTAAATTGTCCTGTGGAGTGTCAAGGTGCGAACTAGGTCCGGTTTTAACTGGGAAACTGGATAAAAGCGTGGACTACTTGAGTTGCGTAACCAAGACATATAGGAGATTACACTTCATGGGCATACAAGCTCACTCATGCATGTCCTTTTTCCAGTGCTGTACAAAACCTGTATACGATTGCAGCTTTTTCTGTTATTTACAAGGGGCTACGGGTGTCTGGAACAGACTGTATGACGAAAGCTCGCTGAAATTACGTTTTCTTACACTTAACTACTACCGGCCAAGAGAGATTAAATGAAACTTTTTGGGTTCAATTTTCCTCTATTTCTGAATCACTTTACTCTTATTCTTTCTCGTATCCATTTTGTAGGTGAAATCGCCCCAACATTTCTGACTCATTGGTTGTAGGAAGATTTGCTACTGACTGGTAATATTTACCAGCTATGGCAAATGTAGGTGTATGGGCTTTGGTGATTTTCTGCTGTGTTATCCTCACATGGTTTGACCTTGGTGGAATGAAAGGCAATAATGTATTGGAAAAGACAATACCAACCTGAAAAAGCCTGCAAATCCACTTCCTACTCTTCAGTTTATGTTTTGGTAAGTTGATAAATTCTTATCTCTACTTCCTCAGTGTTTCCTGAGGATATCGGCGGGTGTTTGAGGAGATATCAAGGATCGTCTTACAGAAATATCCTTCGTTTATTATTGAAGGCGATACTTATCCTCCACCCGCCTGGCGTGCTCACTTAGCAAATCTTTCTCAACTTGTTAAATATTCCATTATTCTTATGACTGTTTCCAGTTTTGATCCTTTTGCTTATTTTGGATATCCCACTCCTAACATTGTGTCTTATGCATCTGAAAATAAAGTAAGTTGGCTGCAAGTAAGATTTATTTGTATTCATATTATTTTTCATTATAAGTATGTTTTTCACATGAGGCATTTTACTTGCTAGGTCGTCAAGTATTTTTGCTTTATTTACGTAGAAACGGAGTGAGGTTTGTGTCAGTTAGTTCTACTTGGGGAGTATATCCATTTATGCTCAATATTTTCATGGAATCTAAATCATTTTATAAAAGCCTAACAACGAGTTTCCTGTCAGTTGTAGTGCATCTTTTTGGCTGACTCATTGTTACGTAACACTTTTGTTAGTTTTCTGTTCATACCAACTGTTAACGACGCACACTATTATTGTTATTTTTCTTATTGTCATGGGATGATTAATATTCAAGGGAAAATATCATATGAGAAGTCTTGGGAAGTCTCATGGAAGTGAAATCTGGCTAAGTAACTTTTAGTCAATACACCGGGTTCTGCAACTGAACTTCATGCCTATCGAATGCATTTTCAGTTTAATTGATGCATTGAGATAAATGAATGCAACAAGAATATCCTATTTTACTATCTTAATTGTAAGAAAGCGATGTCTATTGATGGCCCAGGATTCTGTCCTTTTCCTGTGATTCTGTATAGGCTTCAGTGAAATCCTTTTTTTAATGTGAAGACTTGTAGCTAAGTGTTAGCTAAATTTTGGTTCATACACTCCAAAATATATGTCTAACGAACACTTTATACTTGTATAATCTTATCATATTCAAAAATTTAGCTAAGACCATTGACTTCTCTATCTAAAAGATGTAGTATTTCAGTGCAGTACTTGGTCGGTTTAACAGTCGCTTGCTTTAGTCATTTTCAACCAAGATGGTAGTAAAATAAGATTTGGCATAATTGATCCAAATGCGAGTTGTAAAAGTATCAAAAACAAGCGTCCATAAAAAGAATTAGTGGATACAGAAGTCACAGCGTTGTAAGTCATTATTAACGTACCTTAGATTTCAATTGTTTTACATAAATTTATCTGTTCATACTTGAGTTGCATTTCGTCATCCTGAAATATTTCTTTATAAATTTCTTCATCTAAAGGTCTCTTTTTGTTTGATGACGTTCCTATTGGGAAATATTATTGAAGGACAGTTAGTATCTACAGGTGCTTTCGAAATCTATTTAGATGGTAAGTGCCATGTCTTTTACTAAACTCATTTATTCAATTTAAAGTGTAACATAGTAGTGTGATATTTCTATTTCTCACCAGTACGTCAGGTGACTTCATCCTGTAGTCAGTCACTCATGAGGATCAAATTGATTGCCAAGTGTGTTAGTTTGTAGGGGTTTGATTAGTTTCAAACTAACATTTTAAAATTAATCTGATGCTCACTGGTGAATGACTACAAGATCGTAACCAGATGGACCTACTAGGTCAGGTGTAAGAACAAATATTCTCCGATAACCAATACGCAAAACTAACTTACATTATTCATAGTTTATAGGTATTATTTTTCGGAAGTTGTATTTCCCATTTTTGTGATTTTCCTACCTCCATATAACTTAGTCATGTGTGTACAATGCTAACCTTCGTTTGATTTTCTTACATCCAATACGTCATTTTATTTTGTTGCTCTAAAGACTCGTTACAGTTAGATATAAACGACTGTAGTGTAAATTCAATGTGTAGGGGACTTTCTAGCAAGCTCAGTAACAGAGCATGCATTTGAATAGAATCCAAGGTAATGAAATGTTAGTGTAACAGTATATTATAAAAAATCAGTTAATGAATTATATAAATTAATCAGTTATTTGGATATACAGTTAAAGTCCACGGTTACGAATTAATAATATAATCCACAGTAGTGTTCACTGCTGGAGTAGTGTCCACTGGTAGAATCTGTGCACCGGTTGTAAAGTAGTTTTTGGATGAGGATAAGAGGTTCCTGCAAAATCCGAAGTATACAATACGGTTAGTGGTGGAGTGAGTAGACAGTATAGACCAGTGAGAAGACAAAGTGACAAGCAGCACACTGTGCTTTAGATGGTACTCAGCACTTATGTATATTTCAACATGAATCGTTTTAAACAAAAGTTGTGTGCGATTATTTTAATTTCAACATCTAACAAAAAATGTACAATCGTATCGTTACAGACTCCACAGATGTATCGAATAGTCGAATTAGTTGTTCTTTTTTTATTTACCATCTCTTAAGTATTAACTCAATGTGGTGTTTACAGAATCGCTTTCTTCATTATTTCATTAGTGTTTTAAATCGTTAATTTCAAATCACGCCAGCTATGAAGGTTTAATGAGAATTTATGTTAAGCTTCAGTTTCTAAGTTTCTCATAAAAATATTTCATTCAACACAATTTCGGTTAACTATGTTGAGACTTTAACTGGTTGATGGTGACTGGCAGTGGAATCCAGGATGCGCATTTCGTCCTTTTTGGGGAGTCGTCATCTGGACGTACCTGCATTCCCCAGTGAGTGATGATGTTCCCACCGAGGCTCGAACCCAATACTCATAGTGTAAGATTAGTATTTAGGCAGTGGGTGAGTAGAGTTTCATATTAGACACGTTTATAAAACACGGAGATGCAGTGTTAGTAATAGTATACCATTTTGAGCACTATTCATCACGCATAATCACATCACACATAATCCCATACTTTCAAATGGTTTCACAGCATTTGTTATAGTTAGAACTTGGTTATCCGTAACAGATTTTTTAGTCTATTAGGTACACTTGTTCTATGAAGGGCGGCGTTACTAGTCACTCGTTTAGGCTACAGAGAATGTGTGCCAACGGAATATTATTCTCACATATTCCCACAGTTCAGTTGGGCATTAGCAACAGAATACAGTATATCTATTTGAACTTTTTGTTTGATGTTAGAGACAATACTTTCCTCTCAGTTCAATACTGCGTTGTTGTTGTTGTTGTATTTGAACATTCTATTTCATGTCGTTTAATGTAAACCAAAATCACACTTAGTGATTGGTTAAAGAGTATAAACGGTACATATATAAACAACGATTCAATCAACAGAAAGTATACCTTGGCTCTCGTGTCTTGCATTCTGCTGTTACAAGTGGAGCTCTGTTCAAACCGAGAACTTATTGATTTAAACCAACGGGTCACATCCCCCACATTAACACGTGCTATGTGTCCTTTCTTGGTTTTGGTTCCAACTAATGTGTATCATTTAGTAAAATCATCGTCTTCCTGAAGTGAAATGTAAATCGAGTCTGTTGATTAGCATTTTGTCTAAATATCTATCCGTCAGAGGTTTTTTGCTAGTGTTAAGTTAGCTTTAAGTAGGGTCACTGCATTCATCCACTCAAATTCAAGTTGTGTGTTTATACTAAAACTAAAAGCAATTATTTTCATGGAATTTAAACTTCATAGTTTTCTGCGAAATCTTATCATTCATATCAATGAATGCCTCAGTTTGTGAGTGAACATTATTTTGTAATGATCCAGTAAAATTGTATGCTACTCATTTCAGTGTGTGAATTGAAGTTAATCCATTTTGTGAAGTGAATTAATGTCACTGTCGTTTTTGTTTTTTAAAATTTAGTTGACAAAATTTCTGTCACAGTTATCGACATCTCTAGTTGTTAGATTATGATTGACAGTTTCTTTTTGTATTTTGACAAAGGTTTCCTGGGGCTTGAATCTAGAATATTCACAATATTTATCGTGGTTACTTTAATTGAAACACTTGCTTTTCTATGGTTTGGTTTTTAAGGGTTACTTTTGTTTTTACGAGTTGATCATGGATTGATATCAGTTAGAGAACCAGTGAAAACCAGCCACAGGGAGTACTGGATACCTATTTCATCATATTTTGGGAATCATCGACAGTACGCACCCACTGGGGTTCGAACCCAGGACCTTCTGGTTACAAGGCAAGCTCGTATACCATTCAGCCACTGGGACCCGATTCAATGGCTCATGAATTCTAACTTCTACCAATTCGTGATTTCGCGCGACACCAACCGCCGATGATTCCCGAACTAGGATGAAACAGCTGTCCAGTACTCCCTGGTTTTCAATGGTTCTCTAACTGATATTAATCCGTGATCAACTCGTAGAAACACTTACTTGTATGATGTCCTGAACACAATTTTCGCCTTCACATCAAGTAACTGACCGACTGGAACTTTGCACAGACTTACGTCAGTTCAAATTGCCACACTTCATGAAGCACACAAAGAAAGACAAAAAAGAAAAAAAAGATTTGGAAGAACGATGAAAAACCTAAATGTGAGAGTGAAATAATAATAACATGGAAAAACAATAGGGCTTTTCTGAACATTGAATGCATCTGCGCAGCACTGAGAACGATTTTAAGCCGTATAACACCGATTGTCTCCAGCCTTCATTGGTTTTTACCATCCCGAGGACCCCAACGAGTCAGGAGGCCTACATCTACCTCCGTGGCTGGTTCAAACTAACTGCTGTAGATTTCATTGAGTGATTCCATGTTTTGGTTTGACCACCACTAATTAGCTCTTTTGAAACCTGATCAGTCCTGTCAGTCAGCTAACATCGCCTGTCGAAGAAGGCATCACGTCAAGTAAGTTGCTTTATGAAATTAGTAGTGACACATTCACTGTACCTGGTGATAGAATGCTTACACTCCAGTATCGGAGGACAGAACGTATGTTATAAAGTCGGTAGGAATCTGGGGATTGTTAAGCCGCATGCTTTTACCGACTGTCCAAGTTAAGAAAATTATTTTCTAGACTATTACAGTTTTGATGAATTGGTGCTTAGCTGAGTGACTAATTCATTCAATTTAGAGGGTTTTTACTGCCTTCACATGAACGTATTTAAAAGTTTTCCTCTATTTTCACTTTGTAGATATGCCAATCTGGTCCAAATTGTATACAAATCGTTTCCCACAACCTGAAGAGCTCCTTAAGATAATTGATAACCATCTTATGTTCCGAGGCCCAGGAAAAGTTTCTCAATCCTCTGTTCCACCATTGTAGAGTTGTATGAGCTTATTGTGCACTTATACACGTTCAAGTGTTTTTTGTTGTTGATCAAGCATGTACGACTGGAATATTTGAGCTTTCTCCTAGCTTATGACAGTTGGTATGTCAATCTCTCTACTAGAGAACATAGTCAACTCGATGCTAGCTGGTTTAAGCTCAAATATAAAATACCTGGTCTACATTGTAATACTGTTTATTGTATGTAATACAGCGTTTACTTTTTAATTGAATTAATAATATTAATAACACTATAATTGTTCTCATGTATAGTCAGAAGAAATTCATTAATGTGTTGTACAATTTTTTTTCTCTCGTTTTTATTGAATAAATTAGAATAATTTGTAATCTTTCTGATTAAAATGCATTTATATGTTATGATTTTTCACAAACGCCATGTAGTTAGTTACACATATGGAGTTATCGATCAAAAAAAGGTAAAAGCTACATCGATTTAACGCAAAGTAATGAAACAAGCCGGAGAGTAGGCAAATGTTGCTTCTAGATGGACGAAGAAAATATGACGTCAATTTCTTATTGACTAAAATATAGGTTAGAATATTCAAATATTTACTCACTAGCTAGCTAGTTTGAATGATATTTCAAGAGGAGTGTTGACGTTTACGCAGAGTTCGATGTATACATAACGCAAGTTCTTATTCTCCAGCGCCTTATCGTATTTCTTCTGCTCAAAGCACCAAAGACTAACAGAAAAACACCAAATTCATCGTCCAAAATACGAGTTATATTTCAGGATCAGAATCGTGTAGTGAGTGCTATGATGATTGCATAGGTATCTAGGAATCGACAACGGACGATTAAAACGTAACACGACAGATGGCGTGAATGTTTGACTGTGGACCTTCGGCTTAACGAGTCGACTTAAACAGTGAATGAAGGTCAGCATCCAGTGTTGAGCGACGACTTTAGGGGATTATTTACAGCTACAAGTAACTGCGCAACAACTTAACCGTGGTTTATGTTGTTCTCATAGTAAGAAAGGCACACATATATGCAGGAGACATAACATAGCATAGTAATTGATTAAGAGTAAGAATCGATAGACTATTGATAAGCCATCATTCATGTCTGTCATGAATGAAGAATTCTTGTGTGCAATAGAAGTTCATTTCTTAGAAGGATAATGCTTATACTTCCATTTCAGTAATATAGTAGCTAG